TCCCTCTCTCTAGTCACTCCCTCTCTATATATCCACTCCGTCACTTGCCTTATCCACTCCCTCCCTATATCCCTCCCTCCCTATATCCCTCCCTCCATCCACTTCGTCACTTGCCTTATCCACTCCCTCCCTATATCCCTCCCTCCCTATATCCACCCCCTCTCTCCCTATATCCACTCCCTCCCTCCCTATATCCACTCCTCCTCCCTCCCTATATCCACTCCCTCCCTCCCTATATCCACTCCCTCCCTCCCTATATCCACTTCCTGCCTTTCTCCACGTCTCCCCTGAAGAGATAGAGATCAGCTGGTCCAGTAAACACCTCAGGCTGCCTCAGATAACTCTCCCGCGAAATATGTCTTGTAATGTGTTATTCCGGCCGATAGTGTGGCCATGGGTGGTGGTGGTGGTGTGGTGGTGTGGTGGTGGTGTGGTGGGGTGGTGGTGTGGTGGTGTGGTGGTGGTGTGGTAGTGGTGGTGTGGTGGTGGTGTGGTGGGGTGGTGGTGGTGTGGTGGTGTGGTGGTGGTGTGTGGTGGTGGGGGGTGGTGTGGTGGTGTGGTGTGGTGGTGGTGGTGTGGTGGTGTGTGGTGTGGTGTGGTGGTGGTGGTGGTGGGTGGTGGTGGTGGTGGTGGTGTGTGGTGGGGTGTGGTGTGGTGGGTGGTGGTGGTGGTGGTGTGTGGTGGTGGTGGTGGTGTGGTGGTGGTGGTGGTGGTGGTGTGGTGTGGTGGTGGTGGTGTGGTGTGGTGGGGTGGTGGTGTGGTGGTGGTGTGGTGGTGGTGGTGGTGGTGGTGTGGTGGTGTGGTGGTGGTGGTGGTGGTGGTGGTGGTGGTGGGTGTGGTGGTGGTGGTGGTGTGGTGGTGGTGTGGTAGTGGTGTGGTGTGGTGGTGGTGGTGGGTGGTGGTGGTGTGGTGGTGTGTGGGGGGTGGTGGTGGTGTGGTGGTGGTGGTGTGGTGGTGTGGTGTGGTGGTGGTGGTGGTGTGGTGGTGGTGGTGTGGTGTGTGGTGGTGGTGGTGGTGTGGTGGTGGTGGTGGTGGTGGTGGTGTGTGGTGGTGGTGGTGGTGGTGTGGTGGTGGTGGTGGTGGTGTGTGGTGGTGGTGGTGGTGGTGGTGGTGGTGGTGGTGTGGTGGTGGTGTGGTGTGGTGGTGGTGGTGGTGGTGGTGGTGGGTGGTGTGGTGGTGGTGGTGGTGTGGTGGTGGTGGTGGTGGTGGTGGTGTGGTGGTGGTGGTGGGTGGTGTGGTGGTGGTGTGTGGTGGTGGTGGTGTGTGGTGGTGTGGTGGTGTGGTGGTGTGGTGGTGGTGGTGGTGGGTGGTGGTGGTGGTGGTGTGTGGTGGTGGTGGTGGTGGTGGTGGTGGTGGTGGTGGTGGTGGGTGGTGGTGTGTGGTGGTGGTGTGGTGGTGGTGGTGGTTGTGGTGGTGTGGTGGTGGTGGGTGGTGGTGGTGGTGTGGTGGTGGTGGCGGTGTGGTAGTGGTGTGGTGGTGTTGGTGTGGTGGTGTGGTGGTGGTGGTGTGGTGGTGGTGTGGTGGTGGTGTGGTGGTGTGGTGGTGTGGTAGTGGTGTGGTGGTGTTGGTGTGGTGGTGTGGTGGTGGTGGTGTGGTGGTGGTGGTGTGGTGGTGGTGTGGTGGTGGTGGTGATGGTAGTGGTGTGGTGGTGTGGTGGTGGTGGCAGTGTGGTGGTGATGGTAGTGGTGGTGGTGGTGGTGATGGTGGTGGTGTGGTGGTGGTGGTTGTGGTGGTGATGATAGTGGTGGTGGTGTGGTGGTGGTGGCAGTGTGGTGGTGATGGTAGTGGTGGTGGTGTGGTGGTGGTGGTGGTGTGGTGGTGGTGGTTGTGGTGGTGTGGTGGTGGTGATGGTGGTGGTGATGAGGTGGTGGTGGTGGTGTGGTGGTGTGGTGTGGTGGTGTGGTGGTGGTGATGGTGGTGGTGGTGAGGTGGTGGTGGTGGTGGTGGTGATGGTGATGGTGGTGTGGTAGTGGTGGTGGTGTGGTGGTGGTGGTGTGGTGGTGGTATGGTAGGGGTGGTGGTGTGGTAGTGGTGGTGGTGGTGGTGTGGTGGTGGTGGTGTGGTAGTGTGGTGGTGGTGTGGTAGTGTGGTGGTGGTGTGGTGGTGGTGTGGTAGTGGTGGTGGTGATGTTGTGGTTGTGGTGGTGGTGGTGGTGGTGGTGGTGTGGTAGTGTGGTGGTGGTGTGGTGGTGGTGTGGTAGTGGTGGTGGTGATGTTGTGGTAGTGGTGGTGGTGGTGGTGTGGTGGTGGTGTGGTAGTGGTGGTTGTGGTGTGGTAGTGTAGTGGTGGTGTGGTAGTGTGGTAATGGTGGTGGTGGTGGTGTCGTAGTGGTGGTGGTGTGGTAGTGGTGGTGGTGGTGGTGGTGTGGTGGTGGTGGTGTGGTAGTGGTGGTGGTGGTGGTGGTGGTATGGTGGTGGTGTGGTAGTGGTGGTGGTGTGGTGGTGGTGTGGTGGTGGTGGTGTGGTAGAGTGGTGGTGGTGTGGTGGTGGTGGTGTGGTAGTGTGGTGGTGGTGTGGTGGTGGTGGTGTGGTAGTGTGGTGTGGTGGTGGTGGTGGTGGTGGTGGTGGTGTGGTGGTGGTGGTGGTGTGGTGGTGGTGGTAGTGTGGTGGTGGTGGTAGTGTGGTGGTGATGGTAGTGGTGGTGGTGTTGGTGATGGTAGTGGTATTGTGGTGGTGGTAGTAGTAGTGGTGATGGTGGTGGTGGTGTGGTGGTGGTGTGGTAGTGGTGGTGTGGTAGTAGTGGTGGTGTGGTGGTGTGGTGGTGGTGTGGTGGTGGTGGTGTGGTAGTGGTGGTGGTGGTAGTTGTGGTGTGGTGGTAGTGGAAGTGGTGTGGTGGTGGTGGTGTGGTAGTAGTGGTGGTGGTAGTTGTGGTGGTGGTAGTGGTGGTAGTGGAAGTGGTGGTGGTGGTAGTGGTGGTGGTAGTGGTGGTAGTGGTGATGGTGGTGGTGGTGTGGTAGTGGTGGTCGTTTGGTTGTGGTGGTGGTGGTGGGAATGGTGGTAGTGGAAGTGCTGGTAGTGGTAGTTGTGGTAGTGGTGGTAGTGGTAGTGTGGTCCCAGGAGAAGACCAGTCAATCAGTACAGATTGTCAGAGTGGAATTTTGATGTTTTAAAACTTGCAGGATGGATGGAATTCCTTTTAAAATTGACTTAACTCTTGACAAGAGGAATATATATACTCGCCAGACCTCAGGAGATCTCCAAAGCAATTCCGGATCAAAGACTCATAATTAATACGACAAAATATTTTAAACACATCGGAACAACTGAATCACATTATTTAATAAAAAAATAATTAAATTCCTTTGCTAGTAAACAACCTATGCTGAGAGGCATGGATAATGGAACCACTAATTATACACTTATATAATTATACAATTATATCAATTACCTGCTCCTTAGCAGATGTTGATCTAGCAATTAACCTCTCGTGGTGATCTGACCTCCCTCTCTCGGCCCTCTCTCGGCCTGACCCTTGCCATAGTAATTGTCCCCTCTGCCGGTCAAGCAGGAGCCGGTCGGCCGAGCGGACAGCTCGCTGTACTTGTGATTATGTGTCCCGGGTTTGATCCCGGGCCCCGGCGAGAAACAATGCGCAGAGTTTCTTTCACCCTATGCCCCTGTTAACTAGCAGTAAAATAGGTACCTGGGTGTTAGTCAGCTGTCACGGGCTGCTTCCTGGGGATGGAGGCCTAGTCGAGGACCGGGCCGCGGGGACACTAAAGCTCCGAAATCATCTCAAGATAACCTCAAGAAGAAACCTCGTGGCGATTTCACCTCCCTCTTTCGGCCACCAAGACAACCTGACTCAGTAATTGTCTCAGCTCGTTACAGAGGGGGTAATTAAACTACTCTGAGGCAACACTAAGGAATGAACCTTCCCTGGAAACACAAACCGTAACTACCCCTATTTTCCGCTTGTTACAACTTGTAATAAAGTTGTTACATCTTGGCTTAACGTGTTCATGACGTATTAGAACGTTGTTACAACTTGCTATATTGGTTGTTATAACTGGTTAGGAAGTGTTAAAACTTGTTCGAACGTTGTAGCAACGTCGTAGTTCCGTTGTGTTTGGCGGGTTTACACACGAGTGAAGATTACATAGGCTCTTCCTCAAGGTAAACTGCTGAGGGGAAATACAACAACAGAATACATTAAATTTATACAATTGAGGAATTAAGGAACAAGAGTAGTTGACAAGGGAAAGGGAACCCTGAACCAGGTGGGTCCTGGTCATAATATAGCCATGAACCAGGTGGTTCCCGGTCATAATATAGCCATGAACCACGTGGTTCCCGGTCATAATATAGCCATGAACCACGTGGGTCTTGGTCATAATATAGCCATGAACCACGTGAGTCTTGGTCATAATATAGCCATGAACCACGTGGGTCTTGGTCATAATATAGCCATGAACCACGTGGGTCCTGGTCATAATATAGCCATGAACCACGTGGTTCCTGGTCATAATATAGCCATGAACCACGTGGTTCCCGGTCATAATATAGCCATGAACCACGTGGTTCCTGGTCATAATATAGCCATGAACCACGTGGTTCCCGGTCATAATATAGCCATGAACCACGTGGTTCCTGGTCATAATATAGCCATGAACCACGTGGTTCCCGGTCATAATATAGCCATGAACCACGTGGTTCCTGGTCATAATATAGCCATGAACCACGTGGTTCCCGGTCATAATATAGCCATGAACCAGGTGGGTCCCGGTCATAATATAGACATGAACCACGTGGTTCCTGGTCATAATATAGCCATGAACCAGGTGGGTCCCAGTCATAATATAGCCATGAACCACGTGGTTCCCGGTCATAATATAGCCATGAACCACGTGGTTCCCGGTCATAATATAGCCATGAACCACGTGGTTCCCGGTCATAATATAGCCATGAACCACGTGGTTCCCGGTCATAATATAGCCATGAACCACGTGGTTCCTGGTCATAATATAGCCATGAACAACGTGGTTTCGGTCATAATATAGCCATGAACCACGTGGTTCCCGGTCATAATATAGCCATGAACCACGTGGTTCCTGGTCATAATATAGCCATGAACCACGTGGTTCCCGGTCATAATATAGCCATGAACCACGTGGTTCCCAGTCATAATATAGCCATGAACCACGTGGTTCCCGGTCATAATATAGCCATGAACCACGTGGTTCCTGGTCATAATATAGCCATGAACCACGTGGTTCCCGGTCATAATATAGCCATGAACCACGTGGTTCCTGGTCATAATATAGCCATGAACCACGTGGTTCCCGGTCATAATATAGCCATGAACCACGTGGTTCCTGGTCATAATATAGCCATGAACCACGTGGTTCCCGGTCATAATATAGCCATGAACCACGTGGTTCCCGGTCATAATATAGCCATGAACAACGTGGTTCCCGGTCATAATATAGCCATGAACCACGTGGGTCCCGGTCATAATATAGCCATGAACCACGTGGTTCCCGGTCATAATATAGCCATGAACCACGTGGTTCCCGGTCATAATATAGCCATGAACCACGTGGGTCCCGGTCATAATATAGCCATGAACCACGTGGGTCCCGGTCATAATATAGCCATGAACCACGTGGTTCCCGGTCATAATATAGCCATGAACCACGTGGGTCCCGGTCATAATATAGCCATGAACCACGTGGTTCCCGGTCATAATATAGCCATGAACCACGTGGTTCCCGGTCATAATATAGCCATGAACCACGTGGTTCCTGGTCATAATATAGCCATGAACCACGTGGTTCCCGGTCATAATATAGCCATGAACCACGTGGTTCCCGGTCATAATATAGCCATGAACCACGTGGTTCCCGGTCATAATATAGCCATGAACCACGTGGTTCCCAGTCATAATATAGCCATGAACACGTGGGTCCCGGTCATAATATAGCCATGAACCACGTGGTTCCCAGTCATAATATAGCCATGAACCACGTGGGTCCCGGTCATAATATAGCCATGAACCACGTGGTTCCCGGTCATAATATAGCCATGAACCACGTGGGTCCTGGTCATATATAATCATATTAACCAACGCAGTCTTATCGTACCAATGATCTGTGGATATAAACGTATATATAAACATACTATAATATAATATTACTTTCCCAAAGGCGGTGCTAGTGACGGCAGCGATAGTGAAAGTAGATATAGTGACGGGGGGAGGGGGGGGGGATGAGGAGGGGAGGGGGTAGTGATAGTGAGGATAGTGAGGAAAGTGACTCAAGGAGGACCTGTAATGATTATACAAATCTCATAGATACGTTTTAGAATAGTTTTAGAATATTTTTATTTTTAGAATATTTTTATTTTTAGAGTATTTTTATTTTTAGAATATTTTTATTTTTAGAATATTTTTATTTTTAGAATATTTTTATTTTTAGAGTATTTTTATTTTTAGAATAGTCTTAGAATACCTGAGGTGATTCTCCCTGTTCATTAGCCTGGGCTTTCGACCAAAGGTGTGCCGGGAGTTAATGGGAGGGAAGGGAAGGGAGTTATGAAAGGGGAAAGCGCCAAGCCATCACGACTATATAGCACTGGGAAGGGGGGTCAGGATAAGGAGTTGGGGGTGGGACGGGGGGGAAAGGAATGGTGCTCAATCACATTTGGCTGGATTAAACTGGATTCCAGCCACTAGGACGGTGGATTATATTGGTACAGTTGACTAGAGCGCGTCTGGGATCACTCGGCACATAGGTTCGAGCCCTCAGCAGGACTCCTGTTGGATTTATTTTTTGATATTTCACGGTAATGTTAAACTGGTTGTTGCATTCTACATGTGTGTGTGTGGTCTGTACCGTCTGTTGTGGTGTGTGTGAGAGGTCTGTACCGTCTGTTGGTGGTGTGTGAGGGTCTGTACCGTCTGTTGGTGGTGTGTGTGTGGTGGTCTGTACCGTCTGTTGGTGGTGTGTGTGTGGTCTGTACCGTCTGTTGGTGGTGTGTGAGGTCTGTACCGTCTGTTGGTGGTGTGTGTGTGGTCTGTACCGTCTGTTGGTGGTGTGTGTGTGGTCTGTACCGTCTGTTGGTGGTGTGTGAGGTCTGTACCGTCTGTTGGTGGTGTGTGTGTGGTCTGTACCGTCTGTTGGTGGTGTGTGTGTGGTCTGTACCGTCTGTTGGTGGTGTGTGTGGGTCTGTACCGTCTGTTGGTGTGTGTGTGGTCTGTACCGTCTGTTGGTCTGTACCGTGTGTGTGAGGTCTGTACCGTCTGTTGGTGGTGTGTGTGTGGTCTGTACCGTCTGTTGGTGGTGTGTGAGGTCTGTACCGTCTTGGTGGTGTGTGTGTGGTCTGTACCGTCTGTTGGTGTGTGTGTGTGGTCTGTACCGTCTGTTGGTGGTGTGTGAGAGGTCTGTACCGTCTGTTGGTGGTGTGTGTGTGGTCTGTGTGTGTTGGTGGTGTGTGTGTGGTGTTGGTTGGTGTGTGTGAGGTCTGTACCGTCTGTTGGTGGTGTGTGTGTGGTCTGTACCGTCTGTTGGTGGTGTGTGTGTGGTCTGTACCGTCTGTTGGTGGTGTGTGTGGTCTGTACCGTCTGTTGGTGGTGTGTGAGGTCTGTGTCTGTTGGTGGTGTGTGTGTGGTCTGTACCGTCTGTTGGTGGTGTGTGTGTGGGTCTGTACCGTCTGTTGGTGGTGTGTGTGTGGTCTGTACCGTCTGTTGGTGGTGTGTGTGTGGTCTGTACCGTCTGTTGGTGGTGTGTGTGTGGTCTGTACCGTCTGTTGGTGGTGTGTGTGTGGTGTACCGTCTGTTGGTGGTGTGTGTGGTCTGTACCGTCTGTTGGAGGTGTGTGTGTCTGGTCTGTACCGTCTGTTGGTGGTGTGTGTGTGGTCTGTACCGTCTGTTGGTGGTGTGTGAAGTCTGTACCGTCTGTTGGAGGTGTGTGTGTGTGAGGTCTGTACCGTCTGTTGGTGGTGTGTGTGTGGTCTGTACCGTCTGTTGGTGGTGTGTGTGAAGTCTGTACCGTCTGTTGGTGGTGTGTGTGTGGTCTGTACCGTCTGTTGGTGGTGTGTGTGAGGTCTGTACCGTCTGTTGGTGGTGTGTGTGAGGTCTGTACCGTCTGTTGGTGGTGTGTGTGAGGTCTGTACCGTCTGTTGGTGGTGTGTGTCTGTGTGTGTTGTCTGTGTGTGTGTGTCTGTACCGTGGTGTGTGTGTGTGTGTGGTCTGTACCGTCTGTTGGTGGTGTGTGTGGTCTGTACCGTCTGTTGGTGGTGTGTGTGTGGTCTGTACCGTCTGTTGGTGGTGTGTGTGTGGTCTGTACCGTCTGTTGGTGGTGTGTGTGTGGTCTGTACCGTCTGTTGGGTGTGTGTGTGTGTACCGTCTGTACCGTCTGTTGGTGGTGTGTGTGAGGTCTGTGTGTGTGGTCGTCTGTTGGTGGTGTGTGTGAAGTCTGTACCGTCTGTTGGTGGTGTGTGTGGTCTGTACCGTCTGTTGGTGGTGTGTGTGAGGTCTGTACCGTCTGTTGGTGGTGTGTGTGTGTCTGTACCGTCTGTTGGTGGTGTGTGTGAAGTCTGTACCGTCTGTTGGTGGTGTGTGTGAAGTCTGTACCGTCTGTTGGAGGTGTGTGTGTGGTCTGTACCGTCTGTTGGTGGTGTGTGTGTGTCTGTACCGTCTGTTGGTGGTGTGTGTGTGGTCTGTACCGTCTGTTGGAGGTGTGTGAGAGGTCTGTACCGTCTGTTGGTGGTGTGTGTGTGGTCTGTACCGTCTGTTGGTGGTGTGTGTGAAGTCTGTACCGTCTGTTGGTGTGTGTGTGTGGTCTGTACCGTCTGTTGGTGGTGTGTGTGGTCTGTACCGTCTGTTGGTGGTGTGTGTGAGGTCTGTACCGTCTGTTGGTGGTGTGTGTGAGGTCTGTACCGTCTGTTGGTGTGTGTGTGTGTGGTCTGTGTGTGGTCCGTCTGTTGGTGGTGTGTGTGAAGTCTGTACCGTCTGTTGGAGGTGTGTGTGTGTGAGGTCTGTACCGTCTGTTGGTGGTGTGTGTGTGAAGTCTGTACCGTCTGTTGGTGGTGTGTGTGAAGTCTGTACCGTCTGTTGGTGGTGTGTGTGTGGTCTGTACCGTCTGTTGGTGGTGTGTGTGAGGTCTGTACCGTCTGTTGGTGGTGTGTGTGAGGTCTGTACCGTCTGTTGGTGGTGTGTGAGAGGTCTGTACCGTCTGTTGGGTGGTGTGTGTGAGGTCTGTACCGTCTGTTGGTGGTGTGTGAGAGGTCTGTACCGTCTGTTGGTGGTGTGTGTGTGGTCTGTAACTAAATACCTCACTAAATACCTCACTAATACCTCACTAAATACCTCACTAAATACCTCACTAAATACCTCAATAATACCTCGCTAAATACCTCACTAAATACCTCAATAATACCTCACTAAATACCTCACTAAATACCTCACTAAATACCTCACTAAATACCTCAATAATACCTCGCTAAATACCTCACTAAATACCTCAATAATAGCTCACTAAATACCTCACTAAATACCTCACTAAATACCTCAATAATACCTCACTAAATACCTCGCTAAATACCTCGCTAAATACGCCATCCTCACTAGAATACATCAAGCATGCTGATTATACCTGAATAAATGGTTCTTTCTCTAATAATAATTATAATTATTATATAATCTATATAATTATTGACGAATACTGTGTACAGTGAAAATGGTTACAGTGATGAAGGGAAAGTGAAGAATTAGGGTGATGAAGGGTAGAGGAGGGGGTAGTGAAGGGTAGGGAAAGGAAGGGAATTATCAGGTGAAAGCACCAAGTAATTATGACTATATAGTGTACTGGGAAGGGATCAGGATATGGATTTGGGATGGAACAGGGGGGAAGGGGGGAATGGTGCCCAACCACTTGTGAACGGTGAGTCCTGATAAGTGTCAGACAAGTTACCACCTTACGCGAGGTCTCTGTCCACGCTGACGAGGCCCTCTGTCCACGCTGACGAGGCCCTCTGTCCACGCTGACGAGGCCCTCTGTCCACGCTGACGAGGCCCTCTGTCCACGCTGACGAGGCCCTCTGTCCACGCTGACGAGGCCCTCTGTCCACGCTGACGAGGCCCTCTGTCCACGCTGACGAGGCCCTCTGTCCACGCTGACGAGGCCCTCGGGAGATCTGCGGGATGAGTTCACAGATGTCTCGCCCCATTCCAACTCCCTCACTTGATAATAGGGAAGGTGATGAATGCGAGAAGATAGTAAATGACGTTGGTGGATTTACTGTTATGTACAAGGCCAACATTCTTAAAGTTCCGCACCTGGCCCAACTCTGTGGACTACCAGTGTTGCCACCCGTAGCACGAGGCTCTCAACCTTCAACAGTCTCATGCTGGAAGTGCCATTCTCAAGAACATCACTCCATCAGCGATCATTCTCTCCCAGACTGACTCCCACCTGGAACTTGTTCGCCCAACAGGTTGACACACGGGAGATCAGGTCAACTGATCCCATGAAGGGAGAGAGAGAGACAGACAGACAGACAGAGAATCGTTCTTGTAAACATGTATTACTGATTACAACAGAAAGATTTAGATCAATATTTCTAACACAGATCTTTTCTAAATTTCTCATGTCTTTCACTTGAAAAGAAATACAAATATGGCTCTCCAAAGTTCAATATGCATTTGTATTGGGCCTAACGTCTCTCGCTAAATGATGTGTTTCACTAAAGCACTCTTCAACATCTTCAGAAGAAGAGAGAATATGAATACGAACTGTCGGTGACAATATCTATATTTATAAACGAAAATGTCTGTTTTTTTGTCCACAGTTCGAGGCTACACGTTAGGAGCTAATCTCACTAAACTTTGCAGAGTGGCTGGTGGGTGGGTAGGGACTGTCATAGACGGGTCGTGGTCGGCCCCATTGCCCTCGTTAAGTGCTGCCGATGGTGGTAGAGTAAATT